GACCTCCCCATCTTTGGACTACAGAGTGTAGCTGCAATGAAGAAATCGTTCTGCTTCTTAACGGAAGACGTGCAGGTCTCAGGATAACCCAGGTTGGCATCACCACGAGCGTGGCCTGTCTACCATAGGCGCAATGAAGATGACGAACCGAATTTGAACCGAATTGCTCTGATCCGAGTGTTGGGGGGGGGGGGGGTTCAGTTGAATCAGTCGCATCTTCGGCTGATGTATTTCAGTTGATGCTATTGAACCAACAGATTTCTGTATCATTAACTGAAAGCCGTTTATAAAAAAAGACTTTCAAAATGCTTTGGGGCATCCTTCAAATAGGGAGCAATAATTAAAAAAAAACAGAACAGAACAATAATCAGTCCCATAAACTTTTTTTTCATCAAAATCTTAAAAAAAGCATATCGAAATAGAAACTGAATTTATTTTGAAGTTCTCGTTCATTATCACTCGTTGTGCTCTCATTTTGCTTTTTTGATGAGGGGGAGGGGTCGTGAGTACTAAACAGCACAGAAGTGTTATCTCAAGTTTGACAGAGCGACGCAAAGCAGCAGAGACTCGGATGTAAGGAAGCTGCAAAATATTAAAACAATTGATTAGCAGTATCAGTAGTCAGCATGAACTCGTAACTGCTTAGATGACTAAATAATACATCTCAAACATTCGTGCGTATCGACTTTTCCAATCCGTGAACAAATATCTGCTAGTATGGGCAACGAAGTTACACCTTTCCACCACATCTGCGTATAGGCGTAATCCACGGCGCACACTCGGACCAAATCGATAAAATCAGCCCAACGGGAATTGTTGAGAGCACGTTGGAGTTCGCGAATGTGTATCTTTTGGCACAGGAGTCGAGCTTTTGAGTGGCTAATGTCGCCCAAGGGCGACGCATCTAAAATATCTTCTGAACAGGAGGGTCTTCAGAAAAACTTTTGAGCTTGTTGTAAAGGGAAAATGTTGGGCGTTCTCACGGCGTTTCTAGTTTTGTGAAAGATTGCGTTTGAAAGAAGGTATTCTTATCGGGAGCATAAAAATCCGCCCCGATTTACCACTAGCGCGTCCGTAACCCATCGAGGTATTAGGTTGTCCGGAAAGTTCTCAGCGTTTTGTGCACCTATTTTTTGTACATTCACTGCTGATTAAAAACTCATTCTGCCTTGCTTCTCAGTAGCACATCCTGTAGAGAATTTCTTGCGCTATCTGATGGTATAATTGCCGTTTCACCATTGCTTGATAAACCCTCTTTTTTCAAGATTTTTTCAAGCATGTGAAAAGAGCACTTCGGACGATTTTTTTCTTCGACTATAAATTGGGGCAATCCGCAATCGAAACAGCTCAACAAATTAACCAGGTGTGGGGGCCCAATAGTGCTAGAGAAAGCACTGTGCGGCAATGGCTCAACAAATTTCGTTCTGGAGATTTCAGCCTTGAAGATGAACCTCATAGCGGTCGACCTAAAGCAATATCTGACGAGGATTTTAGGGGGATTTTGGAGGCTGACCCATCCCAAACAGTTCGAGAGATAGCAGAAGAGCTAGGCCTTGGCAAATCCACTGTTGCAGATGGTCTGGAACGCATTGGGAAGGTGAAAAAACTCGACAATTGGGTGCCCCACAATCGGAGTGACCGGCAGGAATCGGCACGTCTCGAGGTTCCTTCTGCATTGCTTTTGCGCAGCAGAAACGACCTGTTTTTGGCCGAATTGTCACCTGTGATGAAAAATGGGTCATGTATGATAACAGGAGACGTTCCGGACAGTGGTTGGATTTCGACGAACCACCGAGGTAATTTTCAAAGCCGAACCCTCACGAAAAAAAGATTCTGGTCACGGTCATCGGCTGGTGTGATCCACTATAACTTTTTATCACCAGGCCAAACCATCACAGCAGAACCCTACTGTGAAGAAATCGACGAATTGTACCGAAAATTTTGTCAGATGCAGCCAACACTTATCAAAAGAAAGGGTCCGATTCCTTTGCATGACAACGCCCGCCCACACGTTTCACAAATCACTATCCATAAATTGAACGAATTGGGGGTTGAAGTTCTACCTCAACCGCCATATTCTTCAGACCTTTCGCCAACCGACTATCACCTTTTCTAACATTTTCAGAACTCCCTTGCTGGAAAATACTTCATCAATCAGGACCAGGCAAAAAAGCCTTAGTGGATTTCGTGAATTTTCGACCACCCAGTTTTTTACTTTGATGGGATTTCTCGACTGCTGTCACATTGGCAAAAGTGTGCTGATTCGAATGGTGCCTATTTCGATTAAATCCGATGAGTATTAAAAAAGTTACGATCGTTTAAAGTGAAACACCCAAAACGCTGAGAACTTTCCGGACAACCTAATAGAAGATGCCTCGCAGTTTCCAACAGATCTGCCGCAGCTAATTTGCCATGGAACCATAACGCGGCCGTAAGCGCTTGCGAGTCCTTAAGTAACCATTCCTTCTCGTCAGAGTTAATAATTTTAATAGTTAGACCCGGAAAAAGAGAGGGACTCGTAGCAGGATCGGCAGGATTGTTTTCCGGAGGAGGGGGGGGGGTAGTAATGACACGTTCATTTCACACATCTCGATGCTGTACCCTGTGAGCAGAGCCCGTGTACAAGCATTTATGAAGGAACTTCATATGTTCACAATGTGCTTAATCCCTAACCAATTCCAGGCATAAAGCCCACGTTGGCTGGGATCAGGACAATGGTTTTTCAAACAACATGTGTGATTCGGAACCATTGGATGAGAGCATTCAGTAAGTGACCTCTTTTTATATTTCGTCTGATTTTCCGAAATGAATCGGTCACATTGTTGCTTTGCAGGAATATTATTCGAGCAGCAGGTCAGGATCCAGCCAGTATGAGCAAAAAGACCATCAAATTTGTTTACGACTTCATTGAGAATTATAATGATAACAAGTAAGTACTTGACGTTATGCAGCGAATGTGCACCTTATAACTGATTCTAACAAATCAGTGCTCGTTTTAAACAGTGACCTTTCATATGCAACCACTCTGGTTTTACCAATTTGGCCTAAGCAAGTGTCGTGCGCACCACACTGTAGCCCTCAATGAATCGCAATCGGTAGTGGGATACCATTTCTTATGGGTACTGGCTGAACCTCTGCATACGTCCATTCTTTTCCCTTGGTTGGCTTCAAAAACGCCTAAATAGCTTACCGGAAAAACTAGGCGGCCGGTCAAGTTAACCGCGCTGCACTTATTCCCGCGCTAAAGCGGTCCATTGTTCTACGTTCCCTGATTCTGAAGCATCCTAGTGTTGTGTACTCCTCTGCATGAAGCAGTAGGACGCTTCAGTTGGTACTTTTCATTGATTACCGATAAGAAATAATTTTGGTATCACTCGTAATCATCACACAGTATCAATTATGATTGTAGTACGCGCGCCATGAATTTGGTGACCCTCCGGCCTAGCATTCCTTATCAAATCTTGTTAGTATCGCTATACATTTCCAGCTCCGCTACCGCCGCTCAACCGTATAAATCTCCTGCTCCTGTTGCACCGCAGTGGAGTAGTCCTGCTCCACCTCCGCCACCATCACGGACAGCATCTCATATGCCTCCAGCACGTCCGCCACCTCCTCCACCCTCCATTCCATCTTCAGGGCGACCTCTCGGCAGACCATTGCCGCAGGTATGCGTTGACTTTATTAATTAGTTAAAAAAATTTGATTCAATCTCTGTCAAGCACTAACGAGAAATAGACGCCAATAAATGATTTTTACGAAACTATCCAAACCACAGCGCTTGATATTTTCACTGGCCTTCGATAATGCGAACGTCGACTTGTCGACTATACATGCATCTAGCTTAATCCACGGCTGCTGAGGTTATTTGCCTCCCTTCGTCCCCTGTGGAAGCTCAGAAAAGTGGATTGAACTGGTTTCTGATTGTATTTTCTATTCGGATGACTAACGAGTTTTTTTGGAAGAGGAGCGTCGCTTCCGCTTCATGGTCAAGATTCCTGTCTTCTTGGAAAATCGCGCTTGGGTGTAGCTGCTTTTTGAAGGAACGTGTTGCACGCGCTAGCACCTCATCCTCATGTATTTCTGCGTTGGTTTTGACATCCCTCTCAACACGTTATTGCCAGAATGCTGTGTTGTGCTCAAAAGTCTGAAACCAGGCGGGACTCGAACTCGAACCTCATGCTTTTCGGATAAGTGCGCTATCCGTGCCGGAAAGAGGTGTTTTGCACTTTATTTAGTTCCCGTCGGCTGCGATCAATTTTAGAGAGCTACCCCGTAAGGATACAAGAGTTGATAGGTTTCACCGTGGTTGCTCGACAAGCATACTCCAGTTTCAGAGGAGTTCACAGATGATTTATAAATAGTAACTGTGGAAGCAACAAGAGTGCAAAATGCCACCCCTCCAGTCCCCTCCCCCCTCGGCGAACTGTGCCGATATTGGCAATGAACCGCGAGGCCGAAGGTTTCACAAGTTGAAGAAGGTTTCTTTTATGATAGTAAAACTTCAAAGAAGTCCCTCTTAAAGAATGTAAGCTGAATGGTGCCGCCATCTTTTCCCGAATCAATGGTCCTTTAGAGAAGAACATACGTTCTATTCCCGGATATCATTTCTTGCTAGGTTTTGTCTCTACTTTGTGGTCAACCCTTGCCAGACCAACTCTTGCAAACGCTGAAGTTGTTCTTATCTGATCACAGCAAATCTTATAGGCGGCGCACCTTCTGGCATCTTAGGGTTCTTTTCCTTTTATTGGAACTGGTAAACTCTGGCCAACATAAGTGCAGTAACTTTGATGGGTCGAGGATACAGTGTTTGCTTGAGTGAGGCGATTCCGCACTGTTTAGCGACAAATCTGGTTGAGGCGCCATTATCCAAGTCGGATTGGCAGCAAAACAAAGTCTTATTTCAAAATTAGGCGCAGGAATCCGTGCCAAAACCGCGGCCACAACGAACTCTGTGACTGTCGACTGATCGAGAACTTGTAAAATTTATGGGTGCTTCTAATATGGATGTCAAAGAGCTGAATGCGAAAATTCAGGTGCCTGGCGGAGGAGATGGTGGTCGTATGGGAGCTGCACCACCACCTCCACCACCCCCACCACCTTCCTTCGGGAATACTGGTGCTCCTCCACCTCCTCCACCACCACCGCCGCCGCTACCATCGACTAATCGTGGGTTTTAAATATTCAACAATTTTTTCATTAGCTAGTGCTATATTTTCAGCTATAGTACATTCGACTCCACCTGCTCCACCACCACCCCCTTCGTCAATTTCCTCTGCTGATAGTGGAAGGGGAACTCTATTGGCGGTTTGTGCTGTTGCCATTCTTTTGTGTAGTACTCCAAATAATGTTTTCCGAGTAGTCAGTATAACATTCACAGTGAATTTCAGGAAATCCAAGCAGGTAAGCAGCTGCGTAGCGTTGCAGCGCACACATCGCCTGATTCTGGGAGAGAAAAACTGGGTACTGGAGATGCCCGGGGCAATGTGATGGCTCAAATACGACAAGGAGCTCAGCTCAAACACGTTCGTTGCATTTCGCATGCCTTAATTCACATGCATTTTTTTTCAACGAAGGATTTCATTCAGGTCGATACGGTCGCTGAACAGGAAAAGAGGCGTTCTGAGAACACTACGGCTGAAATGGGTGGAATAGCCGGTGCTCTTGCCAAGGCACTAGAGGAACGTCGAATGAACATGGCCTTAGATGATTCGAGTGACGAAGAAGGTTAGATACTAATGCTCATGTTAGATACGATTTATTGGATTTCGACAGAACGATAATCTCCTTTATGCTTTGTGCGCTTGCCGAAAGCTTACCTTTGGGTCAGGGTACAGCATGATGTGTGAAGTGACAGTGTAGGTACGACCCCCCCCCCCTTTCCCCAGCACCTACTACCAATCCCACATTTTCTAGTCCAGTTTTTCACCCAAAAATTTTCCGTCGTGCGGAAGGTGCGGGGCTACATAGCCAGTGTGAAACGGGAAAATTTTTGAATTATCCCCAACTTCCTACCACTCTATCCGAGATTTACGAGTATTTTCCTACTTTTGTTTTAAGCAATATCACGCGAAAAATTGATAACCGGAAAAAATTTTCCAGCGCAGCAAATTTCTATCAAACGCTCATACGACCCCTCCCTCCCTCTCCCAACGACCGTACGACCTTCGCTCCTTAGCGGAAAAATACCTCCATGTTTTCACACAACGGTGCTTGTATCCTGCTTGGGATAGTTCACTTTTCCAGCGCCATTCAAAGTATCTTGAACGTTTGATCACCGTAAAGGTTTGTAGCATCGGTCAAAATATACTCAGTTTCGCTGCGGATGAAGAGGCGTACTAGGCAGTATGAATGTGCCACGGGGCCAAACCCGTTCTGTGCCGGTTGTTGAAGCGGTATGCGACAACAGTTGAGAAAAGAGTGGTACGAAAGATACGATAAAGTCTTGCCACCTGCTCGCTCCAACAACGTTTGGAGAGCGGGCTTGGCACCGCGCCGAACTCACCTCATCTTACACGCCCCTTCGCTTGCAGTGAACTAGACTGGCTTGTGAGGCTCAGTCCACCCCACGTTTGGTGTTGGAAAAGTCCACAAAGGGTTGAATGCAGTGACCGATTGGAATCTTTTGCACGGATCTTCAACTTCTCAAATACTACTATTAAGTGGTCGTAGTAATGCAGTTTGATCTGGTCTCTTTGCGCATTGTCCGAATCGGCGTTGTTCGGTGGAAGGAAGGGGGGAGGGGGGTTGAGAGGCAATTTTTTTAAGTCGTGTGAACCTATGAGCGTGTGAAGTCTTGTGAACTCCTATGAAGGTGTAAAGGCGTGTGAAGTCCTAGTCCTGTAGTGTCCCATGAGGTCCTGTGAAGCTGCGAAGTGTTACGAATTCCATTTTCAGACTACTTTTCCACTAGTACACAGACCTAGAAGCTTCTTCCCTCTAGACATGACCAGAAAACAATCGTAATAGCCGCTCCGTCGCGTGCGGCGCATAGGGCGTGGCAATTTGAGCAAGATGTTGCACATCATCAAGAACGCTAGCTTCTCTGGTTTGTGATCTCCTTGTTCAAGTACTGCACTGGTGAGAAAGAGTCGACAACACATTATTATATATGCGGCTGCGAACTATCGAGTTGCAAATTTTACGATTCTTTTGTCACTAAAGCTTCACCTTCCTTACACGTGACGGCACTAGATGTCGTCATTCACGAAAACAGTGAAGAAAATGGCACACACCATTTCTTTTATTTTATCTGTGTCCACGAATCCCCCATCCCCTTACCCTTGATGGCAAACCAAAAATTGTATTCAATGTGCAACACTTGGGTCCATACCAAAATCCCAGTGCGGACACGTAGTCAGAGCTAGAGAACAAGCAGTAGCAGGGGACACAGACAACTAGCGCGTTTGGTTACGGTTAGGCGTTTGGCTGCCGTAGCTGGCAGCGCGTGCCCTCCAACCTTGATTCCGTGCATTTTGAGCACAGGAACGTGTACCAATTGCGCAACAATTCACTTTGTCGTAGGAACTACCTCTTCTATTCCCCGCATGGCGATTTGGGCGCGGTTGCTGTTATTAGCTTTTTGGTTTGCTAATTGTTCTTATTTCAGAGTCTGACGAGAAAAACGAATGGTCCGACTAGAGGATGAAGAAATCCTTCCTACAAGACCAATAGGCGAGAAAATGGGTTCCTGCATAATGTTTTAGCTTGGTATTCATTTCTTCGTTTGCGATTCGAGAGCTTCTTATACATTCGGTGAATATAGATTGTTTGTCGCTTTTTTGTACGATGTAAATTTACTTTTGTGCATTATGTATTCATTACTGTGATAACACATTTTATTTGTGATTTATAATTAATTTTTGATCGGTCATAGTTTCAACTCATCATTTTGCTTTCATCAGTTATATTGTTTAGTAAAGTAATTGCTGTTGATCCACTGAAAATGTTGTTTTGCTCAATTGACGTCGTGCTAGTTGTACAACTTTCCTCTTGTCACTTGAATCGAACAAGCTTTACAAGCAATTCTGAAGAATACAATATGATAAAGTGTTTACAAACGTTCTAATAATTCTCGGGGGTACACAGTAATTTGACAAACTGTACATATTTCGGGGGAAATGATTGGAAAATACTGGAAAAACCTGAAAGCGGGCTTTATATTCTACCTAGGCATATTTTGTGACTCTGATCGACGGTCATTCCCGTGATACGGCATTCCTATGCCATCGTTCTGCCAGCTGTGTGATATCAAATTCGAAAATTCATTGGTAAGTTCGGGCAATTTTCCCAGCCTTGCTCGCAACGGATGATAAGGCGTATCAGGGGGGGATGGTTTTGTCGCGACGCCAAACCGTTTCCGACCACTTGTTTGGGAGAAGTGACAAGACTATCATATTCTTTGTATTAATTATTTTACACCGACTTCTGTTGGTGTAACACTGCTGGACGAGTCTGGCACTGCGCTAAACATATCTCCCCTTACAGGCCCTTCACCGCGGCGAACAAGACCGTAGTTCAGCCCGCGTTCATCCACAACAAAAAAAATTGGAAAAATTTGATTTGGGGAATTGTGGAGTTGAAGGAAAGAGTGTATTTGTGTTGGTGTGGATTCCATCGTCCTAAAACAAAGAGAGAGTGTGGAATGATCAATTCCTTTCTAGTTTTTTTTCCATTCCGCCATTCGTCAAGTCGTCTCTAAATCTGCATTCTTTTCCTCAATATTTCACTTTTTGCGTGCTAGCGCGGTCCCACAGTTTTGTTCGCGACGGATGATGGGGCGTGTCAGCGAGACTGGTTTTGGCGCGGCATCAGTTCCTTCTCCACCAGTCGCTGAAGCGGGTTAGCAACACTAAATAGTGGAAAACACTTGGTACAATCGGGATGATCCAGTCTTTTCACTTTGCGGAAGAAAAAAAGACGATCTGACGCTGCGCCAATCACATCTCCATGACACGCCCCGCACCGCCAGTGATCATCCGCAGTGAGCAAAACCTTCTGTTCACGTGCAGCACACTTATGCTCATGTGTTACCCCTTTTCAAAAATATGCTGGAAATCGATAGCGGCAATCATGTGTGCAGTAAAATAAAAGTTGAATCATCAATGTGTCTTGTTGGATAAGTGCAAACAATTCCCGCTGTGTGGATCTGAGAGCTTGCCCACCATTATTCCAGCCCATCGTTTTTAAGCTAGCCAAAACGAGTAGATTAGATGTGACCCATAGAAGAGAGATCATGACCACCACTCAATTCCTTACACAGCCAGCGTTTTTTATTGATTAATGTTCCTTTCTAGTTGACAATGCCGTCGGTAAGTTTTCTCAGCTATGGCACCGCCGATGTTCATTTCTCCTTCACCTCTCCTTTTAATTTTTTTTTGTTCAGAAAGTAATTTATACAGCTGCGAAAAGAATCAAGGAACTGGTCAAGCGATATTTTCAGCGTTTTTAGTAATTATTACCCTTCAAACTAACAATACAGGGAGCAGCACTTATGAATACTATGAAATGACATAGTAGTATTACTACTGTGGTCGCGAGAAGGTGGGGTGAAAGCAAGTGGTGCCAATTACCACGTGCGCCGTGTGGGGATCAGATTCTGGATTTGCTCCCGCCTGAGCCATCTGACCTTTACATCCCTCCGAGAGTAGCTTGGGCTTTTTTCGATGCAGTGAAGTTTCGCAACGTTCTGCCGCAGTCGCAGTACTGGAATGTTCATCGGCGCATGGGCGGCGGTCATGAGTTGTTCTCCCGTGGCTCATGAAACGGGGGAGGGGGGGGGGGGGTAAATCATGTGTTGATGCTCGTAACTTTTTCTTCTATCCTTCAAATATATTCTAGTGTACTGTATTCTTTCTACTTCTTTCTAGATTTTTACAAATCTAGAAAATTAATCCATCGTCAGCCTGCTTGCTCTTTGTGAAATTCGCTTAGAACAGTTTGTGCAGGCGTGCTCAACCTGTAAAAGCAAGGTTTCCATGTACAATCAAATAATACTGACGAAACTGTTGAAAGCGCTGGGCTCCAGGTTTTTTTTCCTAGGCGCTGAATCTATAGCAGATATCGATCACTGTTTCTTGCTCGTCGGTGTCAGATCACTTCCAGCCTAGGATCTTTCGCAAAGGTCTTTCATCTGTTCTATGGTATGACGGGTTCTACAGGATATTCTGAGTCGATATGTCGTTAATATTTACGCAACTTGTGCTATATATTTATAGCAGTTAGACTGTCGCCTAAGCCTACATCCAGGAGGCCGCGTTCGCGTTCATAGCTTGCGACCATGAAGAAATGAGAAATGCGGAAATGAAGAAAGTTATCTGCAAAGATAACGAAAAGGATTAAATACATATTCATCTCATGCAGAAATGCCGAATTGCGGAAACTCGATACGTATCAGAAAATTCTGTCTTTCTATAGTATTAAGGCATACGCTTTCATTAATTATGAACTCGGTAGTTATGTATAATGTTTCCTCGTCCTCTGACGCAGGTCCACATGGCTCATCAATTTCACCCTTCTAGTGCTGAGGTGTAGTATGGGGAAGAGGTTTTTAATGCATGACCGGTTTGTTGCCTATGTTCTACTTGGCTTGTGACCTTTTATTGCTTCCCTCCGCATTTAGTTAGTATACCTAACGGCTTATGTTTTCTTTTGTTTCGGTATGATTTGCCAGCAGCTTGATTTGCCTTAGCGGTTTGATTTGCTTTGAGTTATGTTCTTAATATTCATATTCTTTTTTTGCTGTCGACGGTGCACGTAAGTGCTAGTAAACAAATAAACAAAGCTATGAACGCAGCCTTAGCATGCTCAGAAGCGTTTTTTAAAGATTTCGCTGTGAGAGAGAGATAGATCAGATCAGAGAGCTGCTTCGGAACTTTTTATGACTCGACTTTGCATTACGTTAGGTTGTGCCTTTGAAAATTTAAGTTGAGGTCATCATGGACAGGCAAAGGTTCGACGTTTGGGATTTGAAAAAATGAAAGATGAGTGTCGTAAGATCAGACGCAAGGAGTAGAAGTCCACGATTCATCATGTCTTTAAATGTGGGCTGTTGCATTTGGGCAGTATGTGAAAAACAGAATCCCGTAAAGAATTGTAACCTTCCTGTCATACACAGTCCCCGCATTCGACCGATTCGTAGACGTCCTTCCTTGTTCGAATAGTCTTGTTTCAGTCTCTACGATTGTCCCGTCTTTGCTGCTTCACACCAAGCAACTAGAGTGCTGCGGTCCCTCATAAGTGTCAGCTCTGACTCCTCCCTAGTTGTCCCGCCCACTAATACTCTAAGGCTATTTTCTGTTACCAGCACTTCTTACGCTGTATTTTCCGATCAGTGAAGTATGTAGAGGTGATAGGATATCGCTTTGCTGGCATGAAATGAGCAGGTCCCGAAAACTCGTCGTAGAGGCTGCCAGGCCCTCAACTGGGGTGTTCTCCATTATTTTTTTTTGCTTTTCCTCACAATATGAAGTAGCTAGTTTCGTCTTCAAGTAATTTTCTTCACGTGAATGTATTTTTTTCAGGAGTTAGAAGTTCACGAGCTTTCGCTCAGTCATCACATTAAAATCGAAGCAGCTGCTCCAACTATCCACATCTGTCATCCTTGTAACGTAACCTGTACATCACTTGGAGAATACTCTAAGGTGCATTGAGTAGTTTTTGACTGATTAGTGAACAAGCAACCTCACAGGATTTGTTCACATAAAACATAGGATTCCCGAGTTTCATTGTGAAGATATGTCTTTTTGTTTTATGTGAACGAAACTCTTATAATACTTCTTGCTACGGCGTTACGGACCGTAAACCCGTCTCCAGACCTAAAGGAATAATTAATGCATCTTGTCTCAGCAATAAATCATGGAAACCGTATTAAAGATTATCTCAGCGCTCAAGCAATTCGTAGGCCCCTTTCCTTGTTCAGGTAATGTGGCCCGCAGTCTTTCAGGTTGTCCCCTTTCCCGCTCACCAAGACTAACTCTTTCCTATCACGAATTCAATTCTTATAGCACGCTTTTTCTTTAGCCTTGGATTTGAAGAAAAAATGATTGGTGAGCCAGAGATGGCAGGATATCGTCTTTCTGGCAGAACTTTCTGACAGAGAAACTCGCCCAGGCAGCCTGCCAGGTCCTTATTTCTCCTCCGGGTCTTCCCCATGCTCTTTTTTGGCTTTTTTTGCTCCTTGGAGAGACACTTAGCTTCTCTAGGTTCGTTATTGAACGCCATTCCCACAATATACAATTGCGGGGTCTGTCTTTAACTAATCATCAGAAATGCTTCGGTCAAAAGGGCGTCGGTTGATCCCGGGAGCCCCATAAATGCTGTTGAGACAGAATGCACTATTTTTACTTGTACATAGACAGCCCAGGACGTCGAACAGTTTCGTTCCCATAGAAACCGACGTGGCAGAAAATGTTCTGTTATTGTGTTTGCTTCAAAGAGAATTTGGTGCTAACGTACATAGTTGGGAGGGGCCTCGCGGCGAGTGATGACTCATCGGTTCACTCATCGGCATACTTGAAACGCGAATCTAGCAGCCAAATCAGAATAAAACAAACAAGATTCACCGGGAACTTGCTGAAGAATTCCACAGAAGCTAAAAATTTGATTTTTTGTAGTCAACAATAACAGTCAACGACAAACATGCAACAAAATTTTGTAGTTTAGGCAAGAACCTTGCAGCCTAAAACTGTTTCTTTGCACTTTTCAGTGTTAACTGTTTTAACTTTTGAATATAGCTAGGGCGAAGTTATATTCATGTCCTAAACACGAAATTACTTCTATTTTGCCGAGGAGGGAGCAGAAGAGCAGATGAGTCATCGCGAGCCGCGTGGCCCCTCCCAACTACGTTAGCGCCGAGAATTTCTGTTATTATTAAGTTTGCTATTCTGGCGTTTACTGTTCTCAAATAAACCTATTCAGCACGTCGATACACTGGAGCATCGCAAGAAACGCGACAGAATGAGGGCAATTATCGATACGATGGATGCTGGCACTGAGATAAAAGTATTTTTCAACTTCTGAATACTGCTTGTCGTTTTTCTTTAACTGGACTTTAGTGTACGCTTACGTTATCTGAAATGGTGTTCAGAATGATAATCGAGGAGTGCAACAAGGCACTGGTCATCCTATCCATGCTCCCAACTATGTCGAACCAACGTTGCCCTTCATACGCAATGGTGCCAATAGGTTAGTCAAATTGACATTTGTTTCGGAAAGTAATATTTTCTCTCCTTTTTTTTCCTTTTGTACCGAACGCTCTGGAAGGCTTATTGAATAATGGCAAATGGAGTGTTGTCTCTTTGTCCAACAGGATATGAAAGAAAGAATTGAGTGAAGTTGGCTGTGGAGGGGTATTTTACCAGTTCCCACTTAAGTGAAGACCTTTGAGCTTTTACGAAGCTAGAAAATGGCTCACAGACAAGCATGTACAAGCTACCTTGTAACGAGCCGTACACTTGCAAACCAGCAAAGCGCCTCGCGAACGCACTCACTCCTCCTCACCACCCCCTCCCCAACCTGCGAGATTCTTTGAAGACAGCCCCCGCGCTCAAGTAGTACATGGTCGTCCTTCCTTGTGCAGGTAGTTCAGCCCCCAAGCTAGATACTATCCCACTCTCGCGACTCCACAGTGAGCGAGGAGCGAGCTACAGCCGCTCAAAGTTCTAGTTCTAACGCCCGCCCAGTTGGACCGCCCCACTTGCTAGCTGCCCTCTGACGGAGAGCCGCTCAGTTGTTCTTTGTTGGGACGGCGGGCATTAATCGGAACTGCATGTACTTTTTGCTGACCGCGCTCGTGCCCATAAATAATTCTGCTCTCCTTCATCACATTTTATTCATTGGGAGCACATACAGTCAACTGCAACCCATCTCGTAAGGTAAAACGCGTAAAAATCACGAATGATGCAATTTCTGTGGTGCAAAAGCTCGACATGCACCAAAAGCTGCACACTGCACGTAACCCCAAATTCGGACGCCAGGTTTTTGAATTTTTCCTTTTTTCAAGTGTTTTTCGTTCGTGTCTTTGTTGTTTTTCATATTCTTTTCTTTGAATTGGATGTTGTCCACTACTGGGAAATGCCATAAAGCGATTTGTGAGCCAGGGGTTGCCCACAGGGCGGTGTAACTGTAAGGGAGCAATTTTGTTTGTGGTGTTCTTGAGGGCTCTTGTTGCTTTTTTCCTTCATTGAGGAATTACTTATCAGCTACTGTTTCATAATTGATCAGCAATTATCCTTGACACTTTTATCGCGGGAGCTGTCTTTAAGACTTGGAGCCCTTCTCAAAATAGTTTTCTGTATTGTGTTGGGGGACCTGCATAGACGTCAAGCCGTGGCTCATTTTTGCTGACCTGCTCTGAATACAAAAAGAGTAGATGAAGAAATCCCTGGGTTCTCCTTTCTGAGCTTCTCTGCGCTAGCAATCACTTGCAGCGCCGACCAGCTGAATGGAAGGTGTGTTCCACAGGTGGGGTGTTGGTGGCGTTGCTTGCTTGATGGGAAGCGAAGATTTCTTCAACAGTATGAGCTCTTAACTAAGTAGG